TACGCGCGTTTAAATTGGCGTTAAATTTTTTTTTTCTGGGGGGCAGGGGGGGTAAATGAAATTTGTAATAAAAGTCAACGCATTCGTCGTTAAATTTATATACATTTTAATAATTAAATAATAATGATAATAAATAAATAAAGAAAGAAAAAAAGGCGCGTGACGAATTTAAATTTAATATGAACTTGTTTAGTTTGACCCGCGTTTTTTTTTTTTTCAGTTACAAAATTTTTTTTTTAAATTGAATTAATAATCAAGGTTTATCAAGGTAAGCAAGACTTCAAGCCTCCCATTCAATCTAGTTTTCTTTTTTTTTTTTTTTAAAGTCAAATTATTTTATAATTTATGGTGCAATTCATAGAGAAAGAAAACAAAAAAAAAACATGCACAGCAATCGTTTCGAACTTTAGCCCGGAGTTTTTACATTTTTTTTTTTTTTTAATGGGGAGGGGGGCAGGAGGGAATAGATTTTTTAGGAAAAATTAGAGGAGATAACAATTTTAAATTTAAAAAAAAAAAACGCACAAAAAAACATCCTTCGAAAAATTTTAAATAAATAAAAAAATTCTAGAAAAAAATGGCCGATGACACGCGTCCGTTTCGAATGGGAAACATTTTAAATTAAATATGGCGAAATTATTTTTTTTAATTGAGTAATTAAAATTTTCTCGTTTGGATGATTATCAATGTGTTTATCGATAATAATAATAATTATTATTATTATTATTATTATTGTTTTTGATTTAAACTTTTTTTTTTGGTAGGGGATGTTGTTGGATATTTAATGTGTGTCACTCGACGTCCTTCAACTCCGAAACAAATACATTTTATTATTATCATTATCATTATCATTATTATTATTATTATTATTAATATTGTTTTCTTTGTTTGAACGAAAGTAAACAACGGCACAACTGAATCGTTTTTTTTTACTTTTTTTTCGGCTCGAAATTACTGAATTTTTTACACAAATAAATTTTTGAAAAATTTTGGCGCGAAAAGTTTTAAAAAATACGCGCGAAAAAAGGTTTAGTCTCTTTTTAATGTTTAGCAGCGTATATGAAACCCGCGCAATTCCAAACCCCTCCCAAAAAAAAATCGTTTTTTTTAATTTTTCTCATTCCAAATCATTATTATTATTATAATTATTATTATCATTATTGTGACTTATTAAAATTGTCAATAACGTAGCAAATCCTTTCGAATAAAAAAAAATTATTTTACGATAATAATAATGATGATGATAATGATGATGACGAATATTTAAAAATTTTAAGTTTTATAGTTTTCGAGACTTTTAAAATTTCCGTTTTAAATTCATTATTATCATTATTATTATTATTATTATCATGGCGACATCATTAAAAATCCATTAAAACTTATGTAATTTATGTATTTAGGCTTATGTACATACATAAACTCTTTTTTTGTCGTACCCAAAAAAAATATATTAACTCGTATTATTTTGTTTAAATCGTTTTAATGTGTAGCAAATTTTTATTAACATGGCCGGAAATGTTTAAAAAGTAATTGTAAAAAAAAAAAAAGGATTTAAATGTTTTTTCTATTTTAAATTGATTTCCTTTTAACGGTTTTTAAAAATATTTTCAATTATTTTTAAACGTTACGCCATTAATTAGTAGAAAAACAAATTTTTTTTATGTTTGTCTATTTTTGTTTATAATTTTAAATGGATTTGTACACGTCATCGTTTCGTTTGTTTTTATCCTCAAATTAATTTTTTTTTCGTGTCTTCTGCTGCTGCTGCTGACGTTCGCTTAAACGAAAACCTTTCCTTTTTTTCGAATCTTGTTTGTTTACTCTATGACGATTTTTATTAAAAAAAATGACGCGGGTGAACGAAAGACTATCGGCCATATTAAATTTTTTGAAAAAATGGCGGGAAAATTAAAAATTTTTAAACGGAATCGAATCGCTGTGTGATTCCTGTCGTCGGAGGGTGAAAATAGGGGGAAAGGACGAAAAGGGGAAAGGGGAGGAGGGAGGAAATCAAAAAAAAAAAAAAAATTAACGTCGTCGTGTAGAGACCATAGCGTTTAACTTGTGTCATCTTTCCTCTAAAGTCACGTCATTTATACCTAATTTCGGTCCTGAACTTCGTCTATTTAGTGACTCTATTTCTTTTCTTTTCTTTCTTTTCTTTTTTTTGTCTTTCATTAATTTGTTGTTACCACCGTAATAAGTTTGTGTCCACCTTCTTCATTTATTGTTGTCATGTGAATCCGATTTCATAACAAACAAACGGACAAACAAACAAACAAAAAACTTTTTACCGCCGCATTTACCGCCGAATAAATTTTTTTTATTTAAACGTTTGTTTAATTAATATTTATTTCAGTGCAAATCGTTTCGCGTTTTTGGAGCCAATTTTCTTTTTTTTTTTTTTACTCTTTCATTTTCATTTTCATTATTATTATCATTGGGTAAGTTTTTGTTTTTGTTTTTGTTTTGTTTTTTGACATTTAATTTGTTTTTTTTTTTTTTTAAATAACATAATAATGATATTTTTTTTGTTACATTTTTTTTAAACATTAAAAATTCTTTTGTTTTTTTTTTGGGTGGAAATTTAGGCTTTTTTTAAAAATATCTCATTTGTTTAAATTTGTTTAATGATTTTCCACAAAAACAAAAATAAATAAATAAATAAATAATCATGATAAAAATAAATAAAAACCACAAAAAAAAATTTAATTTAATTTAATTTATTCGTTAAGGACTCGTTTGACATTCCAAAATGTCTCCATGACGGTTTTTTTTTTATTGTTTAAAAAACGCGTTACGTAATTTAATAATTTCACCGACGTTTATTTTAAACAAACGCTTGCCAGCCAGTCAGACTTATTTAAATATCACGTGATCTATTCCTGGATACGACATTTTTTCTTTCAATTCCAGAAAATTTTCCCCCGAAAAAAAAAAGAAAAACCAATTCAATTCGAAATTTTTATTTTTCTCCTCTGAAGCGTACATTTATTATTATTACTATTATTATTATTATTATTATTAACTCTGTTATTACGACAACAACGGATAGAAAATGATAATGATAATAATGATACGCTCGTAATTAATAATAATAATATTTACTCACACAAATTTTAAATAAATATTATAAGGATATTACAAAATAATTAATTAATTCCCTTGGATTTATTTATTACGTCATCAATCACAATCGATGACGTTTACAATCGGTCAAAAAGAAAAAGGGAGGAGGATTAAAATTATTTATTTATTTATTTATTTTGCCGCCATTTAATGATTTTCAAAAGGGTGTGTGTTTAAAAGGGATTAAATTTGTATTTAAAGTGTTAAAATATAAATAAAAAGGGGTCAAAGGTTAAATAATAGAAAGGATGATTTATCATAAAGGTAGGTCAACCTACTCAAAAAAAAAAATTGCATTTCTGAATGCAATTTTAAAAAGATTTTTCAAGGTTTTCCCCTTTACGAAAAAAAAAAAAATTGTGAAAAAATATCGAAAGTCAATATATGCATTTTATTATTATTATTATTATTATTATTAACCGTCACGTTTTCCGCCATATTTTTTAATAAAATTTTAAATTCTTTGTTATTTTTTCCTGTTGCTGTCGTTTAAAAGAAATAAATTCGAAAACTTTTTTTTTTTAAAAATAATTACACGTCGAGGTGAGATTAAATATTTACTTAATTATTATTATTATTATTATTATTTTAACCACGTGACAACAATTAAATAAATAAAAATAGGTTAAGATACGAGATTTTATTACGCGATACGTACGTGATTATTATTACTATTATTACTTTTCATTGAAATTTACAAAGAAGGACGAAACCTTTTTAATCTTTTTAACCTTTTTACAAACGCGAATGAGAAAAACGTTTATTATTATTATTATTATTATTATTATTATTATTTAATTATTTGCAACTTTGAATTTTATCATTGACATAATTCCTTATTACGGCACTTATATTATTAATAAAAGGTACCGAAGGGATTTTATATATAAACCTATATAAATTGAAAATGGCGTAACGGACAAACGGACGAAGATTTAAATTGACTACGCCAATCAAAATAAAATCTTTTTCCTTTTCTTTTTTTTTTTTTTTTTGGAAAATATTATTATTATTATTATTTAAAACGAAAGTAATTAATTATATATATATAAAAATAAAATTTAAAATATTTATGTCGATGATGATGATGATGATAATAATAGAATAACGTAATAATACCGTTGATAAATATAAAACGTTGTTTTTAAATTTTGTTATTTTGCAATTATTATTATTATTATTATTATTATTATTACCATTATCATTATCATTAATAAACGTTTAGTTCCTGTTTGTTCTTTATTTAAATAAATGTTTGTTGTTGCGACACCGAGGGAAATCCGTCGCCGAAAATAATTTTTTTAATTATTATTATTTTTACTACATTTTAAATTATCGGCGGCCATTTTTTTTCAAACGTGACGTATTGTACGTTTTTTAACGGTCGTTTTGTAAAAAAAATTTCCCTCCCTCCCCCGATTCGATTGTAATACTATAATAATAATATTATTATTTTTTTAAAAGGATGAAATTACTTTGTTGTGACAAACGACAAACGACGGTTGTTATCATGATAATGATAATAAAAAATTTTTTATTATTTTAAATATTGAATTCACGTTTTCAAGTGTTTACGTATACGTTTTACAACGGAATGACAGTATTATTATTATTATTATTATTATTATTATTATTATTATTATTATTATTATTATTATTATTATTATTCTCTTACCATATCGATGTGACTTGCCAATGTTACGCGCTTTATCCTAGTTTTCTTTTATTACGTAATTTTTTTTCTTTTTTTTCTTTTCGTCATTTTCATCGTTTAGGTTTGTCTAATTGTTTGCGTTAATTTTCAAACAACCTCTTCTCGTTCCTTATGATTTATTATTATTATTATTGTTTTTCTTTTAGGTTTGGTAAAAATGACGGGATTTAATTTGTCGGCGTTAAACATTTTGGGAATTATTTATTTTTTCCTTTTACCACCACCCGTTCATAACGTTCCCGTCGAAGCCGCCGTTCCCGTTCAAGTCGTTCCTCTTAGGGATGAAACTGTCGAGGTCGTACCCCTACGGGTAGTACCCCTCACAAGTAATGTCAATTTGGACGATTTGGTATTAAAACTCAACACTGAGGTTTGTCATATCGACATTTTTTTGATTTGTTTAAAATAATTTCCGTTAAAAAAAGCGCGTTTTTTTATTCCGACAGGATTTAACAGAAGAAAGAACGAGAAAAATGTTGAACGAAGATTTAAAAGAGGCGTTGCTTCAAGAAGTTTTATTAGAAAATCAAAAATTATCCGATTCTGTTAAATTAATGGCGGAGATACAAAAACCTAAAAGAAATTCAGAAACTGCCATAGAGAAAATAAAACTTAAAAGAAATGAAAATTTATCATCATCATCATCTCCATCCGTTGATAAAGATATCGATTCGTCTACATCTGACCCAGAGGTAATATTATCATCATCATCATCATAGTAATTTTTCACATAACGTCACGTTATTATTATTATTATTATTTAGGGTACCTACGGTGGTGGCGGTGGTGGTGGTGGTTATGGCGGCGATGATGGTTTTTCCGGATTTTCATTATTATCTAACGTTTTAGGCGCTTCCAGTGGCGTAAGTTTTATTTATTTTTAATTTTTTTTTTTTTCGATTCACGTCATAAATAAATCGATGACGTCATTAAATTAAAAATTTATTTATATCATTCCACTCTCGAATCATTAAGAGAATTGATTAAAATTGACAGGTGACGTTTATAAACGTTACCATTTCCGGTTGTGTGACTTTGAATTCGATTTTTATTTCGAATGGCGACGAATTTAAATTTTGAAATTTTACAGGATTGCGACAAAATTTTTTTTTACTCCTAGCATAAAATTTAATTGATTTTTTTGTATTTTCCCGACGTCATCGATGATTGGATGACGTCACAAGCACGGCGGATTTCGAATTTGCGATTTTTTTTTTTTCAACGTGGTATTTTGCTGCCCCGACGGATTTGATTTTCGTTCGTTACATTTTCATTAACATTTCAATTCAATCGCGTTTTTTACGCTTTTTTACGCTTGTTATTCCTCTCTCTTTCTCTCTCTCTCTCTCTTTCTACTCTCCAATAAAATAAATTTGATTAACGGAATATTTTAAATTCAAAATCAAATTTTTTTTTTGTGTAAAAAAAAAAAGCTTTTAGCTTAATGCCCTAAAAATTTAAATAAAATCATTATCGATAACTAACAGCTGATTAATATTTACAAAAAAAAATTAAAAAAATTCCTTCAGAACGACAGCGACGACGACCTAGTAAAAAGAAAAAAGCGACAAACGGAAAATTCATCGGAAAATGACGTTTTACAAGAATCGGAAACAAACACGGAAAACAATGGAGAGAACAACGACGAAGACGACGACGACGATTCATCGACTCAAGTAAGATTTTTTGCCTTTTTTTTCTGTTCGGGTAAAACGGCATGTTATGTTTGTTTGTTTGTTTGTTTTGTGTTTTTGTCCGTTTTGTCATTAACAAACAAAAAAAAAAACAAACGAAAATTTTCAGGGTGACGTTACGATAAATAATATAAATGTGACCTCATTAAGCGTAAAAGAAAACCTTAAAAATGGTGGCGGCGATGACGATGACGACGATGACGAGGGTAACGGTTTTGGTCGTGGCGGTGGTGGTGGTCGTGGTAGCAGACAAAGACAAGAAGGTGGTGGTTCAACCGATATAATATCGAATCTTGCCGGAGTTTTTCAAGCATCTAGCGGAGGGGTAGAAAAAACGATTAATTTTTTCTTATCGACGCAGGGTTGCAAATTATGAAAAAAAAAAAAGTTTTTTTTTTCCAGGATAATGGAGAAGGTCTTTACGGTCCCCTTTACGGCATTATTTCGCCATTAAGCGATATTAGTATGGTAAAAAAAATTAATAATAATAATAATAATAAATACGCGACAAATAAAAAAAGAAAAAAAATTGTTTGTTTTCTCTATGAAAATTTTTTTAGGATATCGGCGGAAATGAAAATGGTGCATTTAATCCTAACACATTTCTTAATTTGGCTGGACCGTTAATAACAGCATCCAGTGGGGTAAAACTTACGGGAAAAAATTTTTTCTCTCTCTCTCTCTCTCTCTTTCTCTCTCTCTCATTAACTTATTTAAATTTTTTGGAAATTTCTGGTTCAGGTTCAAGATGAACTTTTTAACGGTGGTAACGGTACAGGTGGTGGAATTAATTTTAATTATGTTGGTAACACTCTCGGCTCGTTAAGTTCATCATCATCATCATCATCGAGCGGGGTAACGCAAAGTTTTTCTTATTATTATTAATATTATGGTAATCGTAAAAAATTTGGTGCAGGGCCGTGGTAAGGTTGTTATAACATTCAAAATCTTTTCGGTCACGTTTTTTATTTTTCAGAATAACAATCAATATAATAATAATAGCGATAATACAGGAAATGGAGAAGGAAATCAGGGGGGAAGCGGAGGTTCGGGAGGTTCGAATTTAGGTTCGCTTGTTGCTTCAATATTAGGGCCTTTGAGCTCATCCTCGAGTGGGGTAATTTTTTTTGTTCTTGGCTTTGCTTTTACTTTTTTTTTTTTTTAACGCTTGCTTTGTAATAATTTTTTTTATGTCTGTACAAATTTTAAAACAATTCAGGGTAATCCTAACGGACCTGGTGGATTCAATATCGGCGGAACTTTAGCTGGACTAGCAGGACCATTGAGTGCGAGTATAAGCGGGGTAAATATATATATGCGAAGAAAAGATAAAGGAAATGACGTCACGTGAAAATTTTTATATTGTTTTTTTTTCCATTGGTGAGACGAAAGTTTTATTTTTTAGAGCAGTAGCAGCGGAACCGGAAATGATAACGGTGGTGGTGGTGGTGGTAGTGACAGTAGCAACAAAAGTGGCGGCGGCGGCGGTAGCGGCGGAGGTTCAGGATCTATAATTGCTCAACTTATCGGTGGTTCTAGCGGGAGGGTAAGAACATTATCGATCGTGTCACTTTCGGCATGAGTCAAAGCACATGCATCGTGTCATTAGAAAATCGCACGAAAATATCTTAACAAATTTTTTGCACCTTTTTAATAACATTTTGAATAATGTCGCGTTTCATAGGGTTCATCATTATCATCATCATCGGACGATGACGAATTTGTTGATACCGCCGGCGGTAGTTCGGATTTGTTTGAAGCGTTCGGCGGCGGTTTGTTAAAAAGTAGTAGCGTAAGTTAAACGTTGGTCACTTGCACGCACAATACGGGGGTGCACGGATGTCAGTCACAAAATGGTTGTAGCGGGAGAAAATTCAAAAAAAACAAAAAACAATTTTAAAAATATTTTTTGTTTTTTTTTTTTTATTTTAGAGCGGAAATAACGACGATTCGGATAACAATGGAGGAGGAAGTGGCGGAAGTAATTTGATAAGTTTATTACTTAGCTTATTGGGATCGTCATCGGCAAGCGTAAGTTTTTCCTTCTCCTCATCCTCCTTCTTCTTCTTCCACGTTTAATTTTTAATTTTTTTTTTTTTTTTTAGGGTAACAGCGATAACGGAGGTGGTGGTGGCGGCGGCGGAGGAAGTAATTCTGCTAGTTTTATAACGAGCCTTTTAGGAGCTTCTTCCGGAAGTCTCAGTAGCGGAAATTCAGGTGTAAGTGGATAAGGAGTTGACCCCCCACGATCGACAACAAAATCCGATTTCGAAATTTTCTTTTTTTTTTGCATTTTTTTTTAAGGAACCTCATCAATTATTTTCCTACATTTTACAAATAAAATTAAAATTATTACAAAAAATTTGTTCTATCCTGAAGGGAGCGCTTTCATCTTCTTCTTAAAAACTCGTATAAATAAATTTTTTAGGGAATGACGTCATTTTGGAAGGGGTGCTCCCCCCATTCTAATTTTTTTCATCGGTATGATAATAGTTATTATATTTAATAAATTTTCTTTTTTTTTTTTAATACATATTTTTTAAAATAAAAATTTATCGATTAATAAATCAATAAACATGATTGATTGATTGATTTTATTCAATAGAAAAATTATTAATAATAATAATAGTAATAATAATAATAATAATAAAT